CAAACTGTTTTAAAAGTAATTACATAAATATATTTTGTAAATATATTTAAAACATTTTTTTAAATATATTGTTACAATATTGTCATGAAATATTTTAGCAATATTGTCAACATATTTCTGCAGTGTATTTAAGGAAATATTTACATGACAATATTGTTTCAATATTGACAATATTGCTGCAATATTGCTGCAATATTTCGTGTTGGGCGGGTTTGAGCCGGACAATCTATTTTCCATGTTTATTCTACACCAAAACACTGTCACTTTAAGCATACATGTTCTCATTTTATGGTTACACAGCTCCAGGTCATCAATATATGAGGGACAAATGACTGTAAAAAATTTCCGAGAGACGTAAAACGGAGAGAAGGAGAAATAGTAACTAATGACAGGTAGCCGTTTCGAACGTAAGATTTCTGTTTATTTCACACTTTGACTAAGCGCAACGTTAAACGTAACCGCACTGGAAAAAAAAGTCTCTTGGATCCAAAGTTCGGACTCTAAAAAATTTTCACAAGGGAAAATACTCTTGGTTTAATCGAATTTTTGCTCAAATCGAGAGCCAAGCCTCTCAATTCAAGCGAATTTCCTTTTGATTATAGCAAAACTCCGATTGAATCAAGATTATTCTTTCTTTTCAAATTGTTTAAGAGTCTAGACTCTGGATTTTAGAGACTTTCTTTCCAGTGTTTTTTCGGCGCTTCCTTAAAAAGAGGAAGCGAAAAATCACTTGCAATGTCTCCAAAAATTACAAATATATTTTTGAATGGGAGAGACACAATCTGATACGCACTAAATCAAAATCCAATTTGCGTCGTTCCTCATACAGCTGGAATAACGTTTCCTCTTGAGCGAGAAAATTCCTTTTAAGTCTGTCATACTCGACTCTCGGAACCTACAATAAGGACAATTTTAATGAAAAATTGAAGCTTTAAAAAAATATAACTTTGCAAAAAAGCGATGTCATGCAATTCCCACTTGGAAACAAATTGGAAGACCAAATCTTATGGATACGGATCACAGTTTTTTTTTTTTTCAATTCGCACTAACTCGTGTACAATTTGCTAGTCAGACGTTTCTTTTTGGACTTAGTTTGATCCGTAAAAAAATTGAGATTTGTGCCAGAAGATACCTGACAGATACCTGATAGTTTGAGAAGACCTCAAGATTAAACTACATTCTGCGCACTGAGATCCAATATCCTCAATATATTCCAAGTCTGTACATAGATGTAGACTAAGGGTGCGATACTACCATTGCGCCCTATCAATTTCGTTCCTATTCTGACTAATCGATTCCCTATCTCTCTTAGAATCGAAACATGCATTTAGATGGAGAAAAATTAATATCGCCAACTTACAAAAATTGTTACTGATAAGGGGTAATGATGATGGGAAATAGAAGATTTTGACAGTTACCGTAGCCGTTTCATTATTATGTTCTCCGTTTATCCCGAAGATAAGGGGTAAGAGTAATCCAAATAAACCTCCAAAAGACATTTGAATTAACTGTTGGCCTGCATTCACATTTGCCTGGAAGATGCTTCTCTAAGATTCTCAAAGGATTCGTTTCTTCGCTCGTTGCGGTGAGGGAAACTAGAAGTTAGAATCTGTGAAGTATGATCCCCCGGCACTAATTCACGCCCCAATCCGCACTGCAGCACTGTATTCTGAGTGGCTGAAAGCGTCACCATACTGACCGAATATTGAGTTTCGTTGAATACACGCTTCAAGCTTCAAGTCAAGACTTAAAATAAAATGAGCCAAGCTCTCAGAAGGTTCAGGTTCATTTATACAACAGTTTGATGCATTGACTAATTCCCTAGTTACTCGTCCCCAGACTGACATTTTCACCATTTAGTCCGTTGAATAAAAGGTTTTTAGTGTTTCTCAAATCTCCTGTTAATTTTTTTCATGGTTGGCGGGACCTATCTCTACCCAAAAAACCAAACACTCCAAAAAATATTATGATTAAAAGTTTTGAGCGGCCAGTTACACGTCTATCTTACATTTCCTCCCATTAGCTGAAATCCATTCATAAAAGACTAAGTCTGGATCTATGCTAAGCCATTTTTTGAGATCAGCACATTTAAGTCCGAGTTTCCTCTCAGTTTGTTTTTCAATCGCCTCTTTAACATATGTTATCCGAAAAAAATAGTATAAAATATACTACGAGTATACTACAAGTATAGTCCTATGTATTAAAATCCGAACGTCACAGCACTTCTTACTTTATTAGTGGCATCTTTCGAGAGCAATAGTGTGGAAAAGAGTCATTATTGTCTAATGTAGGTACACTCTGTTTTAATACCACACTCGAAAAAGACTTCTCTGATACCACCTCCAAGTGCACTGATGTGATCTAATGCTCATAACGTTTTATCTTTTCTTCCAAAATCAGATTATTACGATCGGTAAATGCTTACTTAAAGAAATGTAACTTCTTGATTAACAAATCATTGATCTGTTGATATTATTTCTTATACCCAAGCATCAATCTCTTTATCCAATATATAAATTAGGGAATTTACAATTTGATTCTTTCCCAATATTTTCCCTACACGATAAACTTTTATGAAGTGAATATTTTTCATGCAGGGATTGTGACGTTAGAGACGCACATTGTTTTCATAAACGCTTTGAAGTTACCAAGCTCAAATGAAAATTGACTTTCTGAGAGGCCATTCAACCCTCATTTGAATACGAGAGTCAGTGGCAAAGTTCAAGGACACCTATCGTCTGAAGTCCCTCATAGAAGTCCTCAAGATCCCTTTCATCTCGCTGACCCGGCTGCAATGCTTTGGACGATCTTTAAACATAAGTGAAGAGTATGTTGGGGCCTTGTTTGATTAGAATGACGTCACTTTATCGTATATCGTCAACTAAGTAAAAATAAACCTTGCTCATAGGTAGATTATTTAGTCAGAAAAACCGGTCTGCATCAAAGTTCCTCTCCCCGAACATGATATGGACTGCATTTTGCAATTTGGACCCAACAAATTCTGGCTCATCTGAAAAAACACTAATGTGCATAGGGAAACTAATGGCAAATACGTTGTTTTTAATCCGGGCCGGAATTTATAGGTCCAAATTGCATAATGCAGTCCATATCAACTCCTGAAAAACGGGCGGAATAGCTCACATATCATATAGTTATAGTCAATAATGCAAACCAAAAGACAGTTTTGTTACTTAGCCTTTCCTTCGAGTGCGGGCACTTTCACTTCGTGGATACCTGGGAAAACCCAATTAACGACAAATTTCCCGGAAATCAGCCTTTGAGCAACGTAGCTCCGGGGCTTACGAAAAAGGGGTCTCAACTTGAGTGGAGTTTGTGTAGCGATGCAATTAAATTATGATAAATTCAGCGACGGTCTTCTTTGGAGGAAATGCTCCGATTTCCTCTTTCATCGTGTATCCGCGATGTATCGATAGTGGTTCTCAGCAGTTCCGTGAAATTCCTCCGAATCATTTACGCAGATTAAACGCTAGAGTGCGCTGTTGTCGAAATGCGCGAAATATCTGCATACTGAGGGCTCGTTTGCAACCCGAGCAAGGAAGTTGAAACAAATTTTCCTGACGGGAAAATGTGTTACAAACGAATTCACAGAATATTTCATGATTAAAATAAAAACAACTTACTTTCTGTAGAAGCCGAAATCATTTGCTGCTCAAGACAAACAGAATATAAGCAATGGTGTATCCTGACTGAACATTTAGAAAAAACAAAATAGATTTATAGGGGCTCTAGACTAGAGTACCTTTATAGACAGAGTATGGCCATTTCTGTTCCGGTTTTTCATTGGTCGCGAGCGAATAGGCTGACACGATGCTCTTAGGGCCGTAAATAAACAAACAAGATGGCTGTTATCAGCAAGCAAGATTGAGGTTATGCACATCTTACATCCTCCTGTGATAAAGGTGAAAGGCGATTTAACAATGTTTTCGTGTTTTTTCGTGTGTTATTCGTAGATATGCTAGTTTAAATTGTTACTGCCGTATAATTGAAATTTTTGTCAAATTTAGCTTCTTATCGATGTTACGGTGAGTCGCCATCTTGTTTGTTTATATACGGCCCTAAGAGCATCATGAAGCCTAAAAACTCGTTGACCAATCAAAAAGCGGAACAGTTTTCCTGTAGTAAAAAGATACGAATGGCCATACTCTGTCTATAAAGGTACTCTACTCTAGACGTTCCGCTCATTGCTATCTTGCCTTTAATTTTCAAAGTAGGCCAGAGAACGTACTATATGCAGGGAAAGTCATGCATATACGCGAGTATTAGTTTAGTATTGGCCACGAATTTCGCATCGCAGTAATGGTCAATTCCAACTGTAGGTATCTGACGATTTCTTTGCTTAACCTGTACTTTACCTTTGATCTCTACGTTTGATAATAAATGTTGATTTATATAATATTAAAATAATATGTTACTTTCAAATTTTCTGTGGGTGTTAATGCTCCCCTGGGATTAGACCTAAACATGTTAAAAAAACGAGGTGAGTTCTTAACGTTTATACATTTTGCTTGAGTGGCAATTGATAAAAACAGTAATTAGGATTGGATTCATAATGAGGTGCTTTGAGTTCAGATTGTGGCTTTCCCCTATTAATTTTTTTTTAAATATGTTAACCTCATGCTACTGACTTGGTTGCAGAAAGATATTCTATATTTATATTGAAGAAAATTGAAAATGTGGATTATGACGATTTCATAGTGGCGTACGAACACAAAGATTAGAGACATTGGGTTCAAAAATAAAACGTAGAAAAATGAGTAAAGGGCGTGAAACACGATGAAAAGGAAGATAAAGACGAAAACTTAGAAAAAGAAGAAACATTGAAAAGGTAGTGTAAGCAATTGAATCAATGACAAGGATTATCCATGCATTTTTTTTTTCACCAAGGGTTTTTCTAACCCTTTTGCAAAATTGTGTTCGTTATCGATGGGCTCATGTTAAGAAAATCCTTTCGTTAGTATACCACGTCTCAACTTGCACGTGTATAAATAAAATATTCCGGCTCGATTTGGCTGGACGGAAGAACCAATTATTCATCCAAAGCAGGTTTTCCGGGGAAGGTAACCAATTACCTCGTGGGAAAATGAGATGAAATGACATCATCAGAGTGGAAATCATTTAACTGTAGCTGCGGTGCGGAAGGGTCCCCTTGCGTCATGCCAGATTTAACTTGTCAACGTTAACAACGTGCCGAGTTCCCTGTTTCTTTATGCTAAAGAAGCGAACGCCGTAAAAATGTTGCCAAATTTTTTGTGGCAAAATACTTATTTTTGAGAAAAATTGTGGGTGATTTTACTTGAAATGTTCAAACATTTTAGATTAAATTGTGAATGAAATTCTGTCATCACTCTACGACCAAAGTATCCCAAGCGCCATTCGACGTTTAAATTTTTTCCGCCGCCATATTGTTTTTTACAGAGAAATTATTCAACAAAGCTGTCCGAAAATTTCACTGAATTTTCTTTGTGCTGCCGATGAAATTCAGTGAAATTTTCAACAGATTCAACCAAATTCTCTTTAAAAAAATAACATAGCGGCAGAAATTTATAAACGTCGCATGGCGCTTGTGATACTTCGGCCGGAAGGTGACGATATATTGACGGTGAAACTTCCAAACCTCGTATTTCGGTTTGCGATATTGTAGGTTTACTCTCATAATATATTCTTTGAATGGACAAATATTCAACATGAACTCCTAAAAAATTAGTGATTTTTCCTATCTGTGCTAAGGAAATTTTGTGAAAACTACAAAGAATGATGTTAATTTGTTCTCTTTTTAAAACCCCGCAAACGAAATACGTAGTTTGAGAGTTTCACTGTCGATATACTCCCTCTTGTTCTTTAACATTGTTACAAATCCAAAGAGACACAAAATGTATTCACCTTTTTTTAAGCAACATACACTTCTGGATTTGGTGCATTTGGGTGGATTGAACAGGCGAGAGTGGAAATTGCAATGTTGAGACCGCAAAATTGATGGGATCAATTTTTATATTTAGTAGTGGCTACTAAGTATACTAAAAAGTGGTGCACGAAGTTTTTCTTTCATGATCATGAACTTGAGAAAATATTTATACATGTTTCTTTGATCGTCCTTTGAAACTCCAAAATAAGGACGAAGACTTGGGTTTAAAAAAAGTTAAGTCTGCCATCAGTACTAACATGTCTCATATCGGCAGCCATGCCTTTAAAACACTGAAGATTTCATGTGCAAGAATGTTCGGTCAAAAAGCTCTCATTCTAAAAGGTTGGGGCTCTATGTATACACTGATCTGTGTTGACTTGAAGTAGGTGATTAAATTATCGATGGATTCCCTTAAAACACTTGAAATGCGTCAGTGTGCAATCACAATGCCCACTCTCTTTCGGCGAAAACTTTCGGGCCACCAAAAGGTAATGCATACTTAATTCAACAATTCTTGGTATTGAATCGTGGAATCCGAAAACGTACTCTAAGGTACATACGGCCGTCGCGGTGCGAGGATTTAATGAAGTTTGGGAGGCTAAATAAACAGTGCGGTCGCTTTGCTTTATCAATTAGTTTTTCAGACCTAGCACACTGCAACTCTACGTTATGTCTTCCTTTTCATACTTGAAATCAGAATATACTTCGGAGCAGACAAATAAAGTTTAGGATGGACTTTTTTCACGTTTCGTCATTTTTTGTTTGCTTTTATGCAATAAGACAAGTTTCTTTTTTAAAAATAAAAATAAAAAAAAAAATTTTAAATTAAGGGCAAATACATGAATGCTTTTGGGAGCATAAACAAACTTTGAGCGTCTTCATCTCTCAAAAAAATTTCCATGGTTGAAAGTCAATAATTGTAAACTGCAGTTATTACAGTTTGAGCATACATGTTTGCATTTGTAATACTCACACACGTATAAGCCGCTTTCACAGCGTTCTGCAACACCTAGCCACCAAAGTCCCTTATCCTTCTAAAGTCGTTCAGGGAATTAGCAGTCCCTCATTTACAAGAAAACCCCCCACCACCCTTTCACTGAGTGTCCCCTTTGTCTCCTTCCTTTTTAATACCTCACAACGTAATTTTTGCACCGCTGGATCACCAAAACCAAACTTCCACTTTATAAGATGAAACTTTCACTCCTGACTTGTCTAAGCGCAAGGTTTCATTTTGACTTATATTGTTGAAATTTTCAAGATACTAAAAAAGGGAGACAACGAACACTTCTTTGTAGCATAGAGAAAAAAAGAAGGTGTTTGCATCTTGAGGCTCGTGTACCCTGTGACGTAGGTCGGTACAACCTGGTCAGCAAAATCCGGAATTCGAAATATG